AATTTCAATTTTATTAAGTCTGGGTGGATTTTTTTGGAGGAAGATTTTGCTCAGATGATAAAGGAGTTTTGTGATTCAAAAGTCTTGGGCAAATGACTCAATGCAGTTTTCTTTACTCTGATTCAAAAGAAGGATGGTGCAGTGGACATAAAAGATTTCAGACCAATAAGTCTGATTAGAAGCCCTTGTAAACTGTTGTCCAAGGTGTTATCTAGGAGGTTAAAGGGAGTAATTCATGAGGTGGTAGGAGAAACCCAAATGGCTTTTGTGGAAGGTAGGAAAATCTTGTATGGGGTGTTGGTGGCCAGTGAATGTATTGATTCCAGGATAAGAATTGGTTGACCACGGCTGGTTTGCAAAATCGACATTGAGAAAGCGTACGATCATGTGGAGTGGAGTTTTTTTGGAAGAAATGCAAAGGTTGGGGTTTGGGGAGAAGTGGAGAAATTGGATGCTTGCATGTGTCTCATCTGTCTCCTTTTCCTTACTTATTAATGGAGTCTGTTTGGAATTCTTTCATGCTTCTAGGGGTCTCTGACAAGGGGATCCAATCTCACCGTTGTTGTTTGTATTAGTCGGGGAAGTGCTGAACTTTCTCATGGTTAAGGCCACTCAGAAGGGTTGGATTGAAGGGTTCAAAGTGGGGGTGGAGGGTCCTGACATTTCACACCTTCGGTATGCTGATGACACTCTAATTTTCTTGGATGCTTCAGTGGATCAGGTGCTGAATCTTAGAGCCATTTTGGCAAATTTTGAGACGCTTACAGGATTGAAGGTAAATCTGGCCAAGAGCTTGCTGACTGGGGTGGGGGAAATAAGGAGGGAGGCGATGGATCAGTTTGCTGCAGTTTTGGAATGCCAAGTTGGGGAGTTGCCTTTCCTTTACTTGGATTTTCTGGTAGGGTCGAAAGTCTCAACAGCAGAGGCTTGGGACCAATAATTGAGAGAGTGGAGAAGAGATTGGAGGGTTGGAAAGCAAGATGTCTCTCTCTGGGGGGCAGAATTACACTAGTTAGAAGTGTGCTAACTAGTTTACCAACTTATTATCTATCTTTGCTGAAGATTCCAGGAAAGATTGTGCAAAGAATCGAGAAACTTAAGAGGGATTTTTTGTGGGAGGGTCTGGGGGAGAAAAGAAGTTTCATTTAGTGAGGTGAGACAAGGTGTGTAGGCCGAAAAGAAGTGGTGGTTTGGGTATTAGGAGGGTCAAAATCTTCAACAAGGTTCTCTTGGGTAAGTGGCTGTGGAGGTTTAGGCCAGAGAGGGAGAGGGAGTTTCTATGGCGGAGGGTTGTAGTTGGGAAATATGGGATGGTGAGGTTTGGGTGGGAGTCAAGGGAGGTTTCCAGCTCTTACGGGGTGAGTGTTTGGAAAGGGATTCTGTGGTTCAATCAAGAATTCAAAGCTGAAGTCAGGTTCAAATTGGGGGGTGGGTCAAGGATAAGATTTTGGGAGGATGAGTGGTGTGATGTGGGGAAGTTATGTGAGGTATGCCCAAAGTTGTACAGGTTGACAGATCATCAAATAACAGTTGATAGGTGCTTCAAAATGAGGGGAGATCAGATGGTTTGGTGCCCCAAATTCAGAAGTCCATTGTTGGATCAGGAATTGGAGGAATGCATCCGGCTACTGGGAAAATTACAGGAGGTTGAGGTATCACCCTCCTTGAGGGATGGATTGTGGTGGAAAGAGTGCAAGAATGGGGTATTCACTGTTAAATCATTCTACTTGGCGATGGCGAAGAATCAGCTGGCCTCTCAGATCAGGTAGGAGTTTGGGGGAATCCTGTTCCACCTAGAGTGGAAGCTTTTGCTTGGTTGGTGGCCTTGGATAGTGTTCTAACAGTTGATCACCTAAAACATAGGGGTTTCTCCTTAGCAAGTGTTTGTGTTTTGTGCTACTTGGATGAAGAGACTGTTTTTCATCTATTCTTCTCTTGTAAGACTGCACAAACCATTTGGAAATTCTACTCCTCTCTATTCAGGCAAAGAGTGTTTCAGCCAAGGTCTACAGCAGAAATATTTTCCTCCTGGCCAAGTTTTGGCTCCTGTGGAATGAAAGAAATAGAAGGCTCTTCGAAGAAAAAGCTAAAAGTTCTGAAACTCTGGTGGCTATGGTGGGAAAGCTAGTAGTGATGGCTTGTCAAATTGATTTCCTCCCGGTAAAGTATTTGGGTCTGCCTCTCGGGGCTAATTATTCTTCCTCTTCAATTTGGTGCTCAATCATTGAGAGAATGGAGAAGAAGCTGGCCTCTTGGAAGGCAAAATATCTATCTTTTGGTGGTAGGGTTACAATGTTTAAGAGCACCCTCTCCAACCTCCCCACTTATTTCCTTTATCTCTTTCCCATCCCAAACAAGATAGCAAATAGGTTGGAACAGCTCCAAAGAAACTTCTTATGGAGGGGTTGGGAAGATGAGAAGAAGATTCACATTGTAAAATGGGAGCAAGTGTGCCTTCCTAAGGAAGTGGGTGGACTGGGAATTAGGAAGTTGAAAGAATTTAATTCTGCTCTTCTCTGTAAATGGTTATGGAGATTTGCTTCTGAGAGGAATGCATGGTGGAGAAGTCTTATTGCGGCAAAGTATGGAGCGGTATGGGGTGATTGGAGAACTCTGGATCCTCATCCAATTGGGGGTAAATCTCTTTGGGCAGGCATCTCAAAGTACAGCCCTCTCTTTCTGAATGGGATCAGTTTTAAGGTCGGCAAGGGGGACAGAATCAAGTTTTGGAAGGATCCCTGGTGTTTGGAGGGTCCCTTGGCTGAACCCTTTCCTCGTCTGTTCCAAATTGCAGTGAATCAAGATTCTTCAGTTGCTGATAACATTTGCATCTCTGGTGATTCCACCATTTGGACTCCTCTGTGTAGGAGGAATTTGTTGGATTGGGAAGTGGAAGAGTATGCAGTACTGTTGGGGCTGCTTCAAAATCAGAGGATGGATTTGAGTTTGGAAGATAAATGGTCTTGGAAGTGGAATGCAGATGGTAGCTTCTCAATTAAATCCCTTTTTCTTAAGGTGTGCAGTTCAGGTCAGGAAAACTTCCCTGCTAGGCAGATTTGGAATCCAACTAGCCCCTCCAAGATCAACTTCCTGGTCTGGACAATGGCTCTTGATAAATGTTTGACTGGGATTAACCTGGAGAGAAGGGGTATTCAGATTCTGGACCCCTCCTGTGTTTTGTGTGGAAATGCAGAATCTACAGAGCACTTGTGTATCCATTGTCTGGTTTCCTCTTCAATCTGGGGACATTTTTTCAAGAAGTTGGAGATTTGCTGGTCTATGCCAAGATCTGTGAAGGAGTTGCTATTTGCTAATGTGTTGGAGAATGGAGGGTCTTAGTAAGAAAGGAAAGCTTGTTTAGAATATCATTCCGGAAGCTGTACTTTGGTCCATTTGGACTGAAAGAAATAACAGAATTTTCTGTGGTCAACTCAAAATCCCAGAAGAAGTAGTGCAGAAAGCGGTGGGCAAGATTTGTTCCTGGGAGTCGGTGAATGAGGAATTTAAAAATCAGAATGTATCTCATTTGTTTTGCACTAAATCATGGATGAACTTGTAATCTGTTTTGGTCCCAGGCAGATCTAGTGGTCTGGGCCTTGTTGTAATCTTCTTTTATTCTGAATAAATTACTTTACCTTTTTCCAAAAAAAAAAGCTAGTAGCGGATTGGGTTTGGGTGCTCCTAGATTTTGATCAAGTCAGTAGATCGAGTTTGGGGGAGGAGAATTTTTGGAGTGTGTTGGAAATTCAACATGTGTAATCAATTGTCAGTTTCTGGTTCAGTTAATGTATTCTAGACTGGAGTTTCTCTTTGCTTTGTATTGTTAGGTGCCATCTTGGCACCTATTGGATCTGGATTGTATCTGTTATTTATTTTTTTGTTTAATGAATTTTCTTATAATTCTTCAAAAAATATTAATAAATGGTAACAATCCTCACCATGAGGTCTGCAAAGGATATACCAGTTAGGTGAGATACAAAGGAAAGGTCTTCTCTTTTGTAGAATGGTAACAATCCTCACCATGAGGTCTGCAAAGGATATACCAGTTAGGTGAGATACAAAGGAAAGGTCTTCTCTTTCGTAGAATATCCAAGGTGTTTATTTTCCCATAATACACTTTTTGGAAAAAAGCCCTAACCTTAGGGGGAATAGGCTTGCACCAAATTTCCTTAACAGGGAAGAGCTGGTTGGAAGGAGACTGAGAAAGGGATTTGAAAAATGAAGCACAAGAAAAAGGCCCATTCAGCTAGGGTGTCCAAATGTGCTTATCTAGTTTAGAAGGGTCCAAACAAACTTTATCAAGGAGGCTTAACATGCTGATTAAACAATCAATTTCCTCCTCCTTTAAACCTCTATGGCACCTGAAATCCTAGTTTGGTGTCAACGGTTTTTCCAGAGGGGAGAAAAATTTTGATACAAAGTCCTTTTTATACCGAGAAGGGAAGAGATCTTTCAAAGGAATCTCTCCAACCCAAATATCCTCCCAAAAGAGGACGGAGTTACCAACACAGACATCATACCTGACAAACCTAAGAAATTGAGGAAGTACCATGAATTGCTTTCCACGGTGATGCCAAGGTTGCCCGCTGAGATACTCTAGCATCCCACCCATTTTTTGATCGACCATGAATACTTCCTACCTCTTCATGCCATAATCTCTCTCTCTCTCTCTCTCTCTCTCCAAGGGTCACCTCCACAGCCACTTCCCTAGTAATTCTGTATCATTTTGAAGCGACTTTCCTAATCCCAAACCCCTCCTCTTTATTCTGACATGCCACCTCCCACTTTATCAAATGATCCTTCCTACTTTCCCCCGGTTCCCAAAGAAAATCTTTCGTCAATTTCTCCAATTTATTAACTATTGTTTGACTTTACCTAGTACCTACTGGTCTTTATGTCTTGGTTTGTCTTGGTATGTCCTTGTTTTTGCTTAGTGTCCTTGTTACATTAATCATTTTCTTTGTTAAAGTCTCACAATATGTGAAACTATTTTTTTCCAGGCAAAAGCTGATGAGATTGCAAAATTGATGACTGAAAATGAACAGCTAAAGGCCATAATTGTGGATCTGAAGGTAGGTATGGTCCTTACTACTGTTTTTATTTTCGCTTTTCTATTGCAACTGATTCTCTAATAACAATCAGATATTTTCACCATAATGATGTTTTCATTGCTTGAAATACCCCCTAATTTTTCTGACATTTCTGATGAAAATTCCCAATTTAAGGGGTCACAAAAATCTATCATTGAGATACCCTTAATTATATAATTTAGGCAAAAATCTTAACAGTACTTCCACTAAAATAATTTTTATGTTGATATTTATCATGAAAAATAGATTAAAAACTGACAATTTATATTATCAGCTAGCTGTTTATTTTTGTGGAAATCAGAGATTTATTAAAATCACATTTGCATGTTTTTCCATGTTAATGTATCCTATATGACCATGATGGATACCTTTCTTCCTTAATCTGGTCTTAATCATTATATATGATTATTTTTGCATTATTTTATTTTTTAGTATTATACCATGTCTACATTAACATTTTCTGTAGTTCTACTGCATTCTTCATAATGCTTACATCAAGTTGAAAATTTTATTCCATTCTGAATTTTCCTATGAAATTTCTCATTGTTAGGCTTATAAAATTTTCCTCAAAATTGAAATTACGAACCATGGACATTTCTCAATTTTCTTTTTTTCCTTGTTTGGTGCATGCATACCTGTGTCCAGAATTTCCCTTTCACTTCATAATTTCATGTCATATGACTGGGCCATCATTTCTGTTTGGTTCATATTTTGGTTTTTGCCTCTTTCTAGAATGTCCTTCCTGAAGAACTAATTTATATAAAATTTAAATTTCCCAGCTTAATTTTTATTTTGAAACTTGCTGCTTGTATCCCTTTGAAACTTGTTGGAGTATGGTGAAAGTGAAAGACCCTGCTTAACTTATGGGTTGCAGTGTTCAGTAACGACAGTTACTAAATGCCACATGATCCAACACCTATCCATGCTTAAATTTATTATTTTAGTTTGATCACACACACCATTTGGTCCCTTATTTGATAGGTGAAACGAATTTATTAGAACAAGAAGAGGGTGAAAAATTACCAGTATACAAAGCCAAGAACTCAACAAGAAGAGGCTTATTTCTTATCTGATGAGCTAAATGAAGACGACCATACAGGAGTGAGATTGGAAACTGAATTACCAACCTAATTCCAATAACTATAATGTAGCCCAAAATTTGAGAACAACATGGTTGATACCTTAAACTCTTGAAGCTAGGGGCTTCATGGGAATGAAGATGTCAAACACACTGCCTGTTTATATTGAACAAAAAGGGTTTAGGCATGTAGCCGACCCCATATGGTTGGGATAAGGCATGGATGATGATGATGAAGATGGTGATTACCTACTAGGTCATCAAACTTGAAATGTATATTAAATTCCTTCCCCATACTAAACTATAAAACAATGAAGAGAGGTTGAAAGAAAAACCAGTAAACACAATAAAAAAACTGATCTTTCACCTTGATCTCTTGTAAAAGGGAGGGGATAGTTATTAAGATATTTGTAATCTTTTTCTTTCTTCTTGTATTGGGTGATGCCTCATCACCTTGATCTCTTGTAATCTCTCTTATATTTTACTGTATTTTTTTATTATAAAAATTGTTCTTTGCCTAGCAATTTGGAAGTTAGCTTTTTCCCAGGGGTACCCCTAGAAATTGTGGACTAAGTACTATGATTTGTTCCTTTTTTCGAATATATCTGAAGAGACCTATAGATACCAGGAAACTACTTCCAATTTACCAGAAGCATCACAAAAATGAAAGAAAAGGAAATATATTCAAAGTAACAATCAATTAACTTAAACATGGTACAAGTACCTCCTGTGAAACTCCATAGAAATTCTTAGTTACTAGGACTGGGAGTATTATTTCCATGGGCTTCCATTGAATTCCTGTACGTATTGGATAATAATACTTTAGATTGAAATAAAGGAAGATTTGAAGAAGGTAAAAAACAAAAGGAGCAAGGGAAGGAAACGAATAAGATACCTAAGGAAACTTGATAAAAAAGGAAAAAACGCCAGAAATAGATTATGTATGTGTTGGGTGGGGTCTAGTAATTACCTCACCTTATATGGACATACGTAAAAGCAAATGGTGCGAGTTTATCTCTAATTCTTCTTGCAAGAGTGGGGTTAGCATCCTCTTTAAGTTAAGTGGTTAGGTTGTCTTGGTATCTTGGGTTTGTGTTTTCATGAATTGGGTCCTCCCCAGTGGAATCTTTTCTCACTTAGGTAAGTGACCTGATCTAAGGGGCATTTTGGGGTATCTTGAGTCAAGGGGAGTCATTTGGTTGGCTTTGATTGCCTTTAAGTGTTCTAGATCTAATATATCTTTTTTTTTTTGGATCAACAGCACATAGATTTCATTAAATGATTAAAGCGAAAAGGGATACAACAAGAGGTTGTGAATGCTACTGGAAAAACCAAAAAATCACATACACACCCTGCCACCCTATTACAATTGTGTCCAATACATTTGTTGTTTGTGAGCACCTTGTTTAGCCAAACCATCTGCAAAACAATTATCCAATCTTTTTACCCAACTTATTTGAATGCTCATATCTTTTGAGAACCACTTAAATCATCTAATTTCATTTCTGAATTGCCACACCACCCCCTTACCTTTACTCAGCCACCCTACTACTATCTTCAAATCCCCTTCAATGATCAGCTTTACAATTCCCATTTCCTTGGCTTTTTGTGTCCTGAAAACTACTACCAAAATTTCTGCCCTTACTGAATCGCCTTCTTCAATTGGACCCGAAAAACAAATCCCAGATAGTTCCACCCTCATCCCTTATCATCCCCAATTCCTGAAGGTCCAAGATTGCCCAGGCTGCCATCAAAATTTAATTTCATCCACCCACCACTTGGGGTCACCAAACCTCTTTGTTTCCTAAGGAAGGTTCAGCTATTGCCCCCAAATTCCTAAAAAACCTATTAACTGCAAATTCTGAGAAGAGCTTCAGTGTCTTCACCCAATTTGCAACTCTTAATGTTATAGATTCAATTAGTGTCTCCTTGCTTCTCTCCTTCTCCCCAAATATTCTAAAATTTTTCTCTTCCCAAACTGTCCAAACCACCGCCACTGAAAGTGAATCTTTTATATCTCAGCGATTGGAAGTGAATCTTTTCCTGTCCAAGGGCCAAAAGTTGGCATAAAAATTGAAATATCAGTATTTCTAGATCTGAGGTTGGATTTGCTATTTGAGGTATTTGATTCACAAACCTACAATTATTTCCTGTGTATTTGTGTGTGCATGTTAAACTTTCCTGGATATCCATGTGTTCCTGTGAATATTTATGGCCCATATCTTAAATTTGACCTGCACATATTCATACTGATATGGATATTTTAGTCGTTGATGCCAGTTAAGATATCTGACGTGCTTCATGTATGGAAGCTTCATCAGTATCATACTATTTTTTGGAACCATGCTCCACTTGTACATTCTGAATAGTGAAGAGGCCATTACCCAATGTTGGTCCCAGCCATCCTGGATTTGGGAGGGCTAGACTGGATACAAGGCTAATCTCTGGCAGTTTAGCAAAAAGGTGGCTGCTCTCAGACTTGTGTTCTCACGCAACACTTGTTGTCATGACCATAAGGGTTTGTGCTTAATTTTTTCTATTTAAAAGAATTATTTATTTCGTATTGTCTATGCATTTGTTTGATCCAATGGGGTAAGGTGGTTCCAGCCCAACATTCTGTTGTATATGTTTTTGTTTATTCTAATCAAATTTCTGTTACTCATAAAAAATCATTTGTTTGATCGAAAATTATCAGAGACTTATGAAATGGTGTTATGTAACCATCTTGAAAATCTTTTTTATCATGGTGAAATCACCTTGTGAGTATTTTTTTATAAGTATCACCTTGTGAGTATTATTGTAAATGTTTTCTTTGGTTGTTAATAGTAGAACATATTCTACAGAAAAAATCCAGTGAGTCAGAAGTTGAGTCATTGCGAGAGGAGTACCATCAAAGAGTAGCAACTCTTGAAAGGAAGGTATTGATATTACACATCCCTTTTTTTCTGTATGTAAACATTAGATTGCATATCACTCTTGAGGTTTGTGTATTTGGGCATTAACAAGGTAAGACTTGTACTTCAATTGTGTAAGTGATTTGTCTATCAATGTCCATGCAGTACCTATTAGCTTTTCATTTTCTTTGATTTCCACTGTTTTGTAATGACATGGAAATTATAGAGGTTACTAAATTTTCCATTTGGCAATCTCATGCTGTTATGCATTGCTTATTGGGATGTCTTTCATTAGTAGGACTTCATTTTGTATTCACATATTGTTAAATAGTACTTGGATACAATTTTCTTAATTTATTGTAGGTATTAAATATGATTGGGACAGTCAATTTAACTCTACATTATAACGTATTTAACAAACTTATAATTCAAATGGCATCAGAGATCTCTACCGTTTAAATAGACGGATTGCTTGAAAGCAAAACTTTGAAGATGCAGAACTTCTATCCTGTTAAAAGGTCATTACCCAATGATGGTCCCAGCTATCTGGGGTCTTCGGAGGGTATACCAGATACAATCCTAACCTTTGGCATTTTTTTTTTGCACAAAGTGGCTGCTCTCAGACTTGAACCCATGTTCTCACACTTCCCAGTCTGAGATTTTACCATTATACCAAGTAATGGCCCCTGACTTTTATCCTGTTAATACTGAATAAAAACTTTTATCCTGTTAACTGTTACACAGTATGATGATTAATTTATGATTTTTTGTTTGATATTAGTTTCTGAAAACTTGAAATTAAATTATGCTTATAGAAGGTCTTTGTCAATCTCACAAAGACTCCAGAGGTCAAATTTATTGTGTAACCTTTATTTTTTTCTAGGTGGATGTTGAGAAATAATTGTGATGGGGCTGGTCTATCAGTTCTCAAGAGTCCTGAAAGACATCGGACTATCAGAGGATGTCATATGCTGGTCTGTCATTGGAGAATGTCAAGGATCTTGAGTTAGTTATGGGCTGGTCTATCAGTTCTCATATGGCATGATGATGGTTTGGGGTCCACCTGGGATCTAGGGTGATGTTTTTTCAAATATTTCTTGAGTTTCTGGAGCAGTGGTACTTTGACCTAGGGGTGTCAATGGTATCTGAAAATTTGAGTTCAAATTCGAGATTTGACATAATTGAATCGACTTTGGATAATTCGAATATTATGATCGCTTGAATTTGAATATCACATTCATACCATTTAACTTACTGAATCGAATTCGGGTATGACCTGATTCCATTTGATAATATCCAAACTAATTATATATAAATAATTTCAGGTAATCAATATATAATATAATATATAAATTATATAGATAACTTATATATTTATATACTTTATATTATATATTTATATTAATTACCTAAAGTAATTAATCAGTTAAATTCGAATTGAATTGAATAATCGATTATTTAGTCAAATCTGAGTTCAAATTTTGCTTGTTTTGATTTGAATTCAGTCCTCTATAGTCTAATTTTCCTGATTTTATTAATGCTTAGGTGCAGTGCTGTTTCAAGGAGTAGACGCTTTATTACTGAAGGGGGTATTTTAGTCATTTAATTTATTGATGGTCTACCCTCCTTTGCTTGGGGTGTGGTGGTGGGTATTTTAGTTATTTGATTTTACATTCTCCAATGAATATTCAAACTGTTACCAAGCTTGGGTATGTGGTGCTTTTGTCCAGGAGTGATTCCTCTAGAGAATCCTGGAGTGATGATAAATTATCTTGTATGCATTGAGGAGAGGCAGAGATTTCAAGTTTCAACATGCATTAACTCAGTTCACTGTTCAATCTTTTTATAATAGGATGGGTTCACAGCAGCCAAATCACTTTCCTTGGGATAAAATATGGAATTCCTGCATCCCATCTAAGGTTGCTTTCTTGGTTTGGACAGCCTCACTTGGTAGATGTTTGACAAAAGTCATCTGATCAGAAAGAGGAATACTAGGACAATGATATTTGATACTTATACATTAAATGCTTAGAATCTTCAAGTCACCTCTTTATACATTAGAGTCTCTCTCACCACTAATGGAATCTAGCCTTACAATGTTTTGGGGTGAAATTCTGCTTGCTTGAAACAGTTCTGGAATTAATTAAAGGATGGGGAATACAGGGGTGTTAAGAAGAAGAGGAGAGGTTTTATAGGGTATTTTACCTTCTGCTATCATTTGTACTGTTTGGAGAAAAAAGGAACATGCACATTTTTGAGAATAAACGCACAGATATGGATGTAATAAGAAGCAATTTAAAAGGACTATTACGTTCATGGATAAGTATACAAAAAAACCTTTTCAGGGAATCTGACCTAGTTTTTTTCTTGATGCTGGGTCTCTTCTTAGTCATACATTTTTGCTTTGTTTTTGTATATCCCCACCGTACAATCTCTCAATGTGCATGGGTTGATTGTATATTTTGGTAGTATATTATCTTACCTTTTCAAAAAAAAAAAAAAAAGAAAACTCAGCCTTAATCCTGACTATTTGGGGTTGACTACATAAATCCTGTCCCACCATTTTTCTCTAGCTATGTTTTCTGTCAAATTATAAGTCTTTAAATAATTTTATGTCACTTCCAGACCACATATTCCTTCATCTTCTACTAGCTTTCATAGATCTTTCTACTTGCATCATTTCACTCCTCATTGGTGCAGTCATTAGTTGTCTATATACATGACCAAACCATCTTAGTCTACTTTCTCTCATCTTGCCACTAATTGGGGAATGGGGTTACAGCTAAGTCCTTTCCAATGCCCTCATTTGTGATTCTGTCCTTTCTATGTTTCCACTCATCCAGTGGTGATATGACCTAAGTCTTCATGCCAGTGGTGATATGACCTCTTCTCTTGTGTGTGAGGCAAATAACATTGAAATCGTTCCCTTTACACCAAGGATCTTCCAATAATCCCCAGATGCTGTAAAGTTCTTTCCATATCTCCCTTCTACCTTTATATGATATAAGCCTGTATGCATATTTAGGATTTAAGGCACCATTTAAATATGTAACTTTGATACAAATAAACTCACATTTGAAGCCACAGATGCTAGATCTAATAATTCTGATTATTGAGATCTTTATGCTTGACAAAAGTAAATATACCCCTAGAAGCCCCAAGAAATGGAGCTATAGTCTGGCTTCTATTAATATTGTTTCTACTGTTGCTACAGTAGTCCGAACCAGTAAGGGGAAGAAGAAGAAGAAGAGAAGAAGAAGATGAAAGAACTGTCGAACCTGATAGCTAAACCCTATCAGTCGACCTCTTAATGGTGATTAGGCTTCTAATTAAATGTACAAGGACTAAACTGCCCCTACTTAAGTATGGGACAGAGAACCTCTAATAAGA